CTCTTCATTTGTTTGGGGGTCCCAGACTGAAAAACACTGAAGAAGACCCTTGCCAGAGGACGTTATTTGAAGAATTGCTGTCCGTGGTGCTGAAAACCAACAAGTTTAACGTCAAAATAAATTTCTCGGTCCACAAAACAACGTTGTTTGTCGACTTGGTTCACTTTTCACAATGGCGCATTGTTCAAGGAGACCTCTCACGTTCAGTCTGTCTCACTGCATATTGCTCCAAATGTATGAGTAAGCAGAAACCGCGTGATGACGCGGGAACCTCCGGAGAGGAGCGGGGCTGCAGTGAGCGCTGCCTGCCTGCCGCCCACCCTCCAACTGGAAGGAGGCGGCAGCGGCGCCGGTCGCTCGGACGCGGGGCTGCGGCGCTGTCGTCTTGGCACAGCTTTGCATTGATCAGGCGGGACTCAANGTGTCCCAAAGGAAAAGCATAGTAACCGAAGTGGTTACTTTTTAATGTGTTTGTCTTGGAAACGGTGAAAGAGAGCCAAGAAAATGTGACGAACTGCATAGAGCATGCAATATCTGCTGTTAGATTGTGTCCAATCCTGTAGATAAAACTGTATTACTTTAGGAAGGATAGACTGGCATTAAGTTCTGAACTATTGCTTTAAGGTTTATTTATATTAATGCCAGTTTTGCTTTAACACTTTGGCTTTTCTGTCAAAGTTGAACTGATTTATTGAATACAGTTAATTATGTCATATAGTTGTGATATATAGAGGTCATCTCACTTCCTGTGTAGTAGCTGTGATACAGGTGTTGTGTCAGAGGATAATGTCAGGTAATGTCTTCAAACAAATCTTTACTAATGTTCAAATGTCATTGTNATGTCTCCTTTAATGCTAATGTGCTAAAAGATTAACTTTATTTTAAGCAACACTAAAGAATAACTTGACAAGTTGTTCAACATTCCTCATTTTAATGCAGTGGTAACTGCATGCTTTTTCATGTGAAGGCTAGAGTAGTATGACTTTAAACTCTTAATATTATGACTTTAATTTTGTAATATTACAACTTTTATTCTCATAACATTATGACTTATTCTCATAATTTATATGAAAAAACTCTTGTGTGGCCCTAATACTCCATTGCAGGAATGTTTTTCACTATTAAAATGGATAAAAATAGCATAATGAATATTGTTTATTTGACTTGATACCCATGTTTATCAACCAAAATTAGGGTGCAGGTCTTTGCTGGTATTCTGTGAGTCAAAAGCTGAAAAGTTTGGGAACCACTGCACACCTGACAGACATTAAAAAAACATTTAGAAAAGTGCTTATTTATTTTCTCTCAATTTTTAATTCTTCCTCTGTCTGTGTACACGAGAGAGTGAAGTTTCTGAAAAGTTTCAGCCTGTGTACAACATTTTATCGGTGTTAAACACAGTGGCGTTGGTGGTTTTAAAATCAGGATCTTCCTGAGCGTATATCAGGAACATTAAAGTGACTCTCTCCTGTCGTCAAGGCCTCCTTCCCCGGGAACCTCCACCTGGTCCTGGTGCTCCGACCCACCAGCTTCTTCCACCGAACTGTTACAGACATYGGCTTCCGCTTCAGCCAGGACGACTTCATGCTTAAGATGCCAGTAAGGCAGCTCCTCCACTTCAGTTACCAAATATGTCTCACGTCACATCCAGGTACTCTTCATTCTTGTTCCGAACCGAAGCTCCACGAGTCAAACGTAGTGTGGTAAACATGGAAGAGGTCCCACACTTATTTGAGTTTTAAAATCTTTTTTTTTATAATTTGCTTCCTTTCCTTTGAAAGTTGTTGCCTATTCTGCTTCCTTTTAGTACAATAACTTTTAAGTACAAATTCAGTTTTCTGGTGTAAAGCTGAAATGCAAAGTAAAATCTCAGATTTGTCTGCCTGTTTAGGTGGTGATGCTGAGCTCTGTCACAGACCTGCTACACTACATTGATGAGAACCAGCTGACGTCAGAGTTTGGAGGCACTTTGGACTACTGTCACAGCGACTGGATTGTTTTACGAACGGTAAACAGATGTTTGTGTCCTTTTTTTTATTTTTACACAAAGGCTGCTTACAAGTTATGTGACAGTCAAATTAATTTATTCGTTTTTCTTTTAACTCCCACTACAGGCGATTGAAAGCTTTGCTGTAACGGTAAAAGACATTGCTCAGATGCTGCAGAGCTTTGGTACTGAGCTGGCAGAGAGGGAGCTGCCTGAAGAGGGGAAAGCCATCGAGCGCCTCCTTGAGATTCACACGGATAAATACAGAAAACTCAAGGTGAGACTCCACGCTAATTACTGTATATTCTAGTTATATACTGCACATCTGTGTTGATTTTTTTCTTCATATCGAACTCTGGAAGGATGCAATTAGGTCAGTTTCAAAGGAAGGTCGTCACCTTCTCTCCAACCTGGAAGCAACTGGAAAGGAGGATGACTCTCAGTGGGACGTGAAGCTGGACTGGGAAACTGTACAAAGGTGAGGAAGTGCTGCTTTAATTTACTCTACGATAAATAGTGAAAACATACACATCTACAAGGTGAAAAGTGGAAAATAAATGTAATGTCTCACACAGTTTCTCTTTCTTTGTAGGCTTCTTGCCCAGCTCAGAGACATGGAGTCTGCCTTTGATGGCTTCTTTGAAAAGCATCATCTGAAACTCCATCAATACCTTCAGCTGCTCCGATATGAGCAAAGCTTTCAGGAGGTAAACTGCTCCTGTACTCCTCATTTGTATCAGCTACATGGATTTTCCATTTGCATATTTTCAATAAGTTGACCTCTTTAATCAAGGATACAAACAAACATCACCAATGTGCCTTTAAAACAAGGATGTTGTACAAAGTGTTCGTGTTCATCCAGTTCTAAAAGCATAAGCAGATAAAAGCTGCACAGTCTTAAAGGGATCCATGATTAGTTGTAACATTAGACTTTATTTAATAAACATATATATTAACTGTAAAATAAAGACTGTAAAAATACTGTAAAATGTTCAGTTTTTATCATTTTTAAACTAAAAGTT